TTTAAACTTTTTTAAGAAAATGGCTGCTATAGCAGCTATTTCTATTTTTTGGCAGCGTTGTTAAAAAAAAAATCATAGCAGCGATTTTAAAGAAAAAAGAAAAAAAATTTGGACCGGCAGCGATTTTTTATGTTTTTTTAAAAGGAGTAACGGCGTCAATTTTGTTAGAAGAAAATCGCTCCGTCAGGAGCAATTTTGCCCTTTTGGTTAAAAAAAATTGATGTGCCCTTTTGAAATTTTTGGAAACAGGGGAAGGAAAGTCTTGAACGAGTGCATCTTTTACATATTCCGTATATTTAGACGGCAAAAAAAAATGAAATATATTAATTTTAGGGTTAAGGACCAAATTGAACAAAATTTATGATACATAAAGGATCATTTCCATCAAGTCCATACATTAAGGACCAAATGGAATCAAAGTCATACATTAAGGACCATTTTGATCATTTTCTCGAAGCAAATATAAAGGGGAGTTAAAAGGAAAAGGAAGTTTTGAAATGATCAAAATGGCCCTTCAAGAAAGGGTATTATACTATTTGTGTCCTCCATATATATCACGTACCTAGAATGGTCCTCAATATATAAGAAGAAGTCATTTTAGTCTTTAATTTATAGTACTAACTAATCGAATTAGTTCTTAATTTATGAAAAAAATATTGTTTTAGTCCATCGAAATGGTTATTTTAGTTTTAAATCTTTAAAATAACAATACAAGTAAAAATACTGTTTAGAAACATTTTTAAAAAATGAAAGTTAAACTTTTTTATCATAATAAAGTTTTATATATAATAACGAGAATAAAGGTTAGTTTTGCTATTTTTAATAAAAACTTTAGTACCAATAATTAGCATATGTTTTTGTGTTTAAAATTATAACTTACTTGTGTCTTTTGCTGCAAGAAAAAAAAAAATATTATAAGAAAATCAAGAAAACGCCTTCAATCTAGCATTACATGTGATGGTGGAGAGAGAGAAAAGTATAACTTTTGTTCCTTTCACATGAGTGCAGGTAAATTTAATAGATCGTTTGACTTACATCGTTACTTTTTAAGTTTTGAACTAAATAATCATTTTTTATATATCAAGAATTATTTCAATTACATGATATATATGAAAGACTAAAAAGACAACTTTATTTATACATTAAGGACTATGCAATAGCTCGCAAACCACATAGGAAATGTAACCCGCACTAGACAAGCCCGATGCGACGAGCTCGACCCAGAAGGCAAACCCCTTACTTTCGCAAGCAAGAGGGTTTTGAACTTGAGACCTCCAACATGGAAGTCCCAAACTCAAAAATGTGTACTTCATTGTTGCACGACACACGGTGATGCAGGGAGGAAAAGTATATTTTTTGCTTTTTTCACGTGATTATATAGTTTACGTTTTGGTTTGTGCGAAGGGTTTCAATTCCTCTCTTTTTTGTTTTTGTCTTTTCGTTAATGTGTGCAAGGGCTTCAATTTTTTCTTTCAATTACTTTTTTAATATTATTTATTTATCTAATTAACAATTTTTTACATGACTTAATTCTTGATTTTTTTATTTACGAGTATCTTTTATCAAGTGTTAATCTCTAATTGATACATTGTGTGTATTGTATATCAATTATTGATCAATATTAAACTTTGAACGACACATAAATATTAATAAAAACATATTTAAACAGGTTTTTTAAAAAAAATAAGTTTTAAAAATGATGGATATTATTATGTCAAACCTTTTGAATTTATAGGTTCATTCGAGTTTTTACCGACACTCACACTAAGTTAAGATAATTGAGTTAAGCTACAAAAAAAAAATTCTCAACTATATGGTATTAGATGATTTTTTTTTATATATAAAAGCTTAATTTTTAACGTGAAAAAACTCTTATTTTCTCAAAATTTTAGAGAACAACGTTTTTTATTCCTAAAAGATGAACTACTTAGGTATATATCTTTAAGATTAGAATATCTAAAAGAAAATGTTGTTAAATATGCATGCTTAATCAATTTGTTTACGCAAATCAAATAAATAAATAATTCAAATTATAACTCAAAAATTGAAGAAAATGGTTTGTTTAACCTATTTAGACGATATGACACTCGTAACTTTCGAATTCTAGATCCTCCTCTATATTTGCTCAAAATTGTAAATCAAATTCAATGAACCTTTAATATCTTATTTAATTATTGAAATAAAGTGTCGCCTTAAAAGAGAATAATCTAAAGTTTAAAATAAATTTGTAAAAGAAAAAAAATTGTAAAAGAATTTAATCAAAAAAATTATTATGGCTTAGAAATTGGTCCTTGTCTAGTGGTTTGAAATTATGGTACAATTATGTCATCTGCTACAAGAATAAAATTATGTTATAAGGATAACAAGAAAAATGCGTACTTAATTGTTGCTCGACACACGTGGTGGAGGGAGGAAAAGTAAAGTTTTTGTTTCTTTCACATGATTGCGTAGTTTATACATGATTTGTGCGAAGGGCTTCAACTTTTTCATCTTTTTTTTTTTTTTGGTCTTCTTTATTAATGGGTGCAAAGACTTCAATTTTTTTCTATTACTTCTTCTTTATCTATTACTAGTTTAGAGTACGTGTTTTGCGCATGTGCATCAGGTTAATTAATATAAATTTATAAGTTTAAAAATATATTTTTTTAAATGAGAGTGAAACTTTTCGACCATAATCGAATCTTATATAATATTTTTGCTATTTTTAATTTTAAAAAATTGTACCAAAATTAGCGTATGCTTTTGTGTTTGAAATTATAATTTACTAATGTCTCATGCAAGAAAAAATTAGATTTAAAAAAGAAAAGAAAAACGTATACTTCATTTTGGCATGATACACGATGGTGGAGAGAGAGAATATATGTTTTGTTTCTTTCACATGAGTGTGCAATTAAACTGTCACGACCCAAACTGTCGTAATTGGCACCCACACTAACCCTCCGGTGGGAGAACCACTACTACAACTCAAACCAAGCAACTAAACCAAAAACTAAAGCATTTAAGGATACGAAAACAGGAATAATAGCTAAAAACTGAAGTTTTCATAAACTTCGAAAAGATCTAACAACTAACAATGCGGAAAAAAATACACCTAGAACCTAAAAGTCAATGTACCAAAACATCTAAAGTTCAACAAGTTTAAACAAGAAGGGATACAACCCCAACTAATGAACTAATCAACTAACTAGAAAAGTCTAAGTCCGAAATGGTGGACATAGACGAAAGAAAGCCCATGACAGCCTGGAAGAACTGGCTCACCCTTGAGTTCGAAAACAGTCACTGATCTTCTAAACGAGGTCTGTCAATAGCCGCCGGAAGATGCCCTGTACTCCACAAAGAAAGAGCAAGTGCAGTATCAGTACACAACCACAGTGTACTGGTAGAATCACGCGGCTATTCCACAAAGTGTAACATATATAAGCCATTACAACAATATAATCACATGCACATATCGAACATATACAATATTATCAACATTTACGAACAACTTCACATTTCTCAAAATACACAATTATGACAAGTCATTGGTCCTCTCATGGAATCCAAACCCAAACAGTTAGCATACCAAAACGTGGTACCCGATCCAATGATTATGCCGGAATGTGTCAACTGATCCCATAATTATGCCGAAACATGGCAACCGATCCAGGTTAGTTATGTCAGAACGTGGCAACCAATCCATTCAACAAGCCACAATCACAACCACAAGTATATTCTCAAGATCATACATTTAAGTCATGATTTCATGGCAATCATTATTCATCTATCTCATTTACAACAAGTGTGATCAATAATGCAACATTCTTATACATACATGTATCATAATGAAGCAAGAACAAACATACATCACACAATCATAGAATCACAACCATCACCTACATCAAACAAGCTTGAAACCCTAAGAAACTTGATCCTTCCCTTTCTGGATTCGTTCCGCTTGTTCTTGGTCTACAAACAATCAATATAATACGAGAATCAATAAACAATCACTAATTACCGGATTACTAACAATTCTAACAACCCTAGATCATATTCATGATCCTAATTATTCCAATTAGGGATGTTTCCACCATAAATTCTAGATCAAAACCCTCTCCCATAGATATTTACCCATTAGATTACGTTCTACGGATCGAAAAATGGATTCGGGGAGTTAAAAGCTTACATTTAGCCTCAAGAATGGTGAAAAACGGTCAAGAACTCGTATGGGGTCGTCTCCTAGCTCTCAAAGACGAAAAGTGCAGAATAAAATCGTTTTGGGGTT